TTAATTAAAATAAGCAGAATTAGTATTATTTTTATTTATTTTTTCTTTATTTCTTTCTTTCTGGAAATGGAAGTAAATAGCATAAATAAATAAATAAATAAATAAATAAATAAATAAATAAATAAATAAATAAATAGGTATTTATCTATTTACTTAATAGGTAATGAATGAATGAATTAATTAATTAATTAAGCAGAATTAGTATTATTTTTATTTTTTTCTTTATTTCTTTTTTTCTGGAAATCGAAGTAAATTGCATTTTCTTTTTTTGCTCTTTGTAATTCAATTAAATCAATTAATGCATTATAACAAGTTGGGCATATTATACGTAAACCTGTACAAAAAAAAAAAAATATATTTATTTATTTATTTATTTATTTTATTAGTTATTAATTTTATTCATTTATTTTATTTATTTTATTTATTTTATTTATTTTATTTATTTTATTTATTTTATTTACCTTTAGATGTACTCCACAAAGCCTTGCAGTTTGTTGCCTTTCCTTTATCGCACCTCCAACACCTAAATAAATAAATAAAATAAATAAATAAATAAATAAATAAATAAATAAATAAATAAATAAATAAATAAATATGTATAAATAATATTAAGCGTATAATTAGAAATATATAATTATAAATATACAATAAGGAATATATAATCTAGTATATATGATAAATATACAAAAATCTAAGAAAAAGAGGAAAACGAGGGTATGAGTGTTTCCTTAACCCGTGCTTGATTAGGGTTTAGGGTTTAGGGTTTATTAGGGTTTAGTACATAAATTAGTGTATTATTTTATACATATAATTCTTCCTTTAATTCTTTATGACGTGAACTTACGAAAATTTTTAAGAAAATTTTGAAAATTAGGGTTTAGGGTTTAGCTAGGGTTTAGGGTTTATTTAGGGTTTAGGGTTTAGCTAGGTTTTTTTGCAGTATATATTACAATATCTTAGATCAAATTATTAATATAATACTTTTACATGAGATAAATTTGTGAATATTTTTTTTTTTAAAAAAAAAAAATTAGGGTTTAGGGTTTAGGTAGGGTTTAGGGTTTAGGTAGGGTTTAGGGTTTTGTATAGGGTTTATGACTTACATAAAGTATTGCATTTGATTATATTTTTTAAGATTACAATGCCTTAGATCAAATTCATCATCTAATTCTTTATGAGGAGAAGGAGTGAATTTTTTTAATGCTTTTAATGCTAAGTTTTTTGTCTTAGACGATCCATTCTTTGCCTCTAATGCTGCTATTAAATCACACTTCCTCTCCTCTAATAAACGAACCATCTTTAAACCCTAAACCCTAAACCCTAAACCCTAAACCCTAAACCCTAAATATATATTTATATATATATATATATATATACCCTATAAATATAACACATCATACACATACACACATATGTATAGATATTTATTTATACATTTATATATTATTTTATTGTATACATATAACAAACAAACGAATAAAAACAATCCTATAGATACGGCTTGTAAACCCTAAACCCTAAACCCTAAAAAATAGAATAAGCCTAAGACTCAGACGGCAAGAGGCTGTAAACCCTAAACACTAACTAATCAATTCACTGCTTTACGCCAAAGAAAATAAGGGTTTAGGGTTTAGTCTTCCTAAACCCTAAATACTTGTTTGCAGGGTTTAGGGTTTAGGGTTTATCGCTATTGGCAATAATAAAAATATAAACTTACAGTTTAAGGCCTTCAAACACTTTGCTGCTGCTGCAGCTTCTGCTGCTGCTGCTACTGCTTCTACTGTTGTTTCTGCTGCTGTTCCTCCTGCTGCTGTTTCTGCCGCTACTGCTGCTGCTACTGCTGCTGCTCTCTCTGTTAGTTCCCGCTATAATTGCTGCTCTTTCTTCGAGACAAATTGAGTAGAAAAAAGGATAAAAGGAAAAAATGAAAAAAGAATGTAGACAAGCAAAGAGGTAAAGGATGTTGTGTGCCGTTCAAGTTTGCCCGCCGCGTGTTTGTCTATGGGTATATTTGTTGATTTTTATGTTGAATAATTATAAAACAAAACGTTTTTTAATTAATTAAGTTTTTCTTTTGTTTATATTCCTCTTCCAAATGAGATATTGAAGCGCTTTCCTTCTTTTTGCCTCGCGCATCCATCCATATGCCGGTAAGTAGTCGCAACAGGAAAGCTGCAAGCGCCGCAGGTCAACTTGAATATTATCTAATCGTAAACCCCAAAGAAGAATAAGAAAAAGAAGAATAATATCAATAATCTACAGGAGAAGGAAAAGAAGGAGAGGAAAACAACAAACAAACATACGCAAACAAACAGCCGCAGCCCCAGCCATTTGCAGAAACTTGAACGGGCGATCATATAAACCCTCGGTGTATGTACACCCCAATCAGGGGAGTGGAAGTTGCATTAAAATTGAATTTTATTCGCTTTTATTTCTTAAAATTGTGTTTAAATACTTAAATTAAATTAAATTATTTATTTAAAACCCCTTTTAGATGCATAGATTTATATATTACTTGCCCGGTGCTTACTTGTCGCAGCATTTCGTAATTATTCAAGCACTCAATGCAAGAAACACAAAATTTGTTGAATATTTCTCCTCTTTTTTATATAATTAAATACAAATTAGGTACAATTCTTGGTTATTTTAATACAATCAATTAATTATATTATTTTATACCTTAATTCTTCTTATGGCACGGCAAAAGGGGGAAGTTCTTACATAAGAAGCGTGCTCTGCTGCAGCTGTGCAAGGCTTTTTCCCTCTAATAAGGAAGGAAAAGCAAAAAATAAATTAAATTTTTAATTTTTAATTTAAATTTAATCATTTTAATTAAAAAAGGACAAAATTTCAATCATTTTTCTGCTTTTTACCGGTAGATCTAATGCTTTATCTTGCACGTATATAAATAATAATACACTAGAAAACTGTTGCGGTGTATGTATACATAATTATACACTTTATTTATGTATAATATAAATAAATAATTATTTAATTAATAATAAATACTTTATATATACACACTAAATGATTATATAAACATAAATTGCCTCTATATTTATATATTGAATACCTTCCTATACTCCTCCTTTCCTTATTCCCTTTTTCTTTCCCCCTTAATAAACATCAAGACATTTATTATATTTAATTTATATCTTTTATATATATACTTTCCCCTCTTTGTTTGTATATAATATATACGTATATATACATAAATAATAAAATATTTACACCTGTATATAGATACACTCTTATAGTATATGAGGGCAGATACAGACAAAAGAAAAGACAAAACAATAAAAGCACAATAAAGATAAAAAGAAGAAAAAAGGCAGAAAGATGGGGGAATAAAAGAAGAAAAAATAGATTAGTGTTTCTTTTTAGGGTTTAGGGTTTAGGGTTTATAATAATATTATTAATAAGGAAAGGAGTAAATAAAATTGTGTATACAGCAGAGTATATAAACAGAAAAAGAAGAAAAATAAATACATAAAAGAGTAATTAATCTTATTTACGGTGTATATGGAGGTAAAATAACAATAAATATACATAAAAATAAAATGAATAAATTCCCTACTAATAAATTATACATATAAGAAGAAAAAAAAAGAAAAAAGGAGAAAAAGGGAGAAAAAAGGATTTATTTGCATATAAAATATTATGTATATTTATTTGCAAATTAAGTACTTGTAAGGAAGTAGCTGTACATACACCGCAAATAGTTAATATTATATGTCTCCTTTTTTCCTCTTTTCTTCTTTTATAATAATAATAAAGGTTTTATTTATTCTTTTTATTGTTATTTATAATATAATATAATATATATAAAAAAAAAAAAAAAAAAAAAAAAAAAAAAAAAAAAAAAAAAA